CGCTTAGGAATCAGTTGCGAAACATCGATTGTTGCGAAACAGTGACTGTATGTTAGGGGAATTTAACTGTATAAGGTAACACTTTCCGTTTGCCTTATGAAAAATACAGGATATGTAAATTGTTAACCAAATATTATGTATATAAAAAGTACCGGGAATGTCTAGTCAGGATTATCTTCTATAAAGAAATTTATATAAATTAACTATATTTGCAGCAATTATTTATAAATATTTAAATTAAAACTCGCTTAAATAAGCATAATAATAAGTGTAAACTATATATTAAGTATAATAACAATAATTTTTGATAGTAAATTATTTGTCAATATGTTCTGGTTCATATTGAAGAGTATTTTATTATTTGCAGTATTTTATGAGATCTCATGTCAGAACCAGTGCCAGAAAGACCGGTTAAATGATGTGAAATCAGGCAAAACAAAAGTACGTGGGTCCAATTTGGGCAGTTGGCTAGTCATGGAGGCCTGGATGGCAGGCAATGTCTGGGATGATAACGGGTGCGACAGAAACACCCAGCAAGGTAGTTATTTGCTGGAAAAGTGCCTGGGTAGTCGCGCACCCGCTGTTATGGAGAAACATTGGTCAACGTTTATCACTGAAAATGACTTTGCTGAAATGTCCAAACGCGGTATTAATGTTGCTCGCTTACCAGTCGGTTGGTGGCAGGTAATATATCAGAGAAATTAATTTACTAGTTTAATTAATATATTTGCTACTTTAACTACAGTGTGTTTATAAGAAAGTATTTTTTATTCACCTCACGATAGGCTATGCTATGAAATTTAAACAAATATTTGAAATGATAACTTTTCATATAATTATTAATTTTACAAAATATGTACTGTAGCTATAAATAGTTTATATTATAATATAAGTGACACTTTGTACAGATTTATGACCCACAAGGTGGTGCTAGTAAAGCCAAACTGAACTGGTACATTGTACCCACAGATTATATAACCGGTGGTTTGCCATACATTGACAATGCCTTCACATGGGCGGAGAAGTACGGCATCGGTATCTTATTGGACATGCATGCGGCACCGGGATCTCAAAATGCTTTTGATAATTCATCACCGACTGAATTCCCCACACAAGTATGCTCATTAGCTTATACCGGTACAGTATTTTACAATAGTAATATGAAGTACTATTGCATTAACTAGTAAGTTTAAGAATTAAATATGCCAAATATGATATAAGTACCGATAATTTTTAAATAATAATTTATTTTTAATAAATTATAGTCAATCAAAATTAATCAGTTAAATAGTTAAATTAATCAAAATTGAAAATTGTTTAAAAATTATTTTAGAAAAATTGGGACAAATATGACGCAAACATAGGGCAAACAGTGGACTCAATGGAACTGTATGCTCAACGGTACGGTAATCATCCAGCTCTATTTGGTTTTTGTTTTCTCAATGAGCCCCTCGGTATGGACATCAGAAAGTTGCAGGATTACTATAAGCGAACTTATGCTGCCGTACGTAAACACTTGGCTGACACGGTAATAGTGATCAGCCCACTGCTCAATGGCGAGTCGGGAGGGGAAGACCATTGGGTGAACTTCATGAACCCCGATCAGGGTTTCACCAGGATAGCCATGGACTTGCATTACTACTCGTGTTTTGGCGGTGAACCCGATCAGGATCACGCCGATGGCGCTATTGGCTATATTAACCACGATAGAAAGAATCAGATTGCAGATTACCATGCTAAAAATCCGCACAAGAAAATGTTGATTGGTGAATGGTCAGCGTGCAATCATTTTAATAACCCGGATCGCAATGGTGATTTCGCTTACGCCTTGTTCAACGTGTACGACCAGGCTACATTAGGTTGGACATTTTGGTCGTGGACCCCCGGATCCGGTGAATTGTGGTCATTGAAGACTCATTTCGACAGAGGGTGGGTGCCGTCTAACCTTGTATACCCATGTTAGGCTCCACTATGTATTTAAATTGTGGAGTTCAATTAAATTGCACCATTTAAATGTTACTTTGGCTTAATTCAAGTATATACATTGATTGTATGTT